ACAACTTCGGTGAAACCCACGCGCACGGGTATGGTGCTGACAAACCTAGAAACATAATCGGGGCGAACCGGGATTCGAACCCACAACCATAGGTTTCTGGCGTACCTGGCGCCTCAGACGACTGGGCCACCCGTGCTCCCCTCTAGTATATAGAGCTGAGGGGATGAGAATTGGATGCGAGAGCTGAGGGGATGAGAATTGGATGCGAGAGCTGAGGGGATCAGAATTGGATGCGAGAGCTGAGGGGATGAGAATTGGATGCTAGAGCGGAGTAGGGGATGATGATTGGATGCTAGAGCGGAGCAGGGGATGATGATTGGATGCTAGAGCGGAGTAGGGGATGAGGATTGGATGCTAGAGCGGAGTAGAGGATGAGGATTGGATGCTAGAGCGGAGCAGGGGATGAGGATTGGAATCTAGAGCGGAGCAGGGGATGAGGATTGGATGCTAGAGCGGAGTAGGGGATGAGGATTGGATGCTAGAGCGGAGTAGGGGATGAGGATTGGATGCTAGAGCGGAGTAGGGGATGAGGATTGGATGCTAGAGCGGAGCAGGGGATGAGGATTGGATGCTAGAGCGGAGTAGGGGATGACGATTGGATGCTAGAGCGGAGTAGAGGATGAGGATTGGATGCTAGAGCGGAGCAGGGGATGAGGATTGGATGCTAGAGCGGAGTAGGGGATGACGATTGGATGCTAGAGCGGAGTAGAGGATGATGATTGGATGCTAGAGCGGAGTAGGGGATGAGGATTGGATGCTAGAGCGGAGTAGAGGATGAGGATTGGATGCTAGAGCGGAGCAGGGGATGAGGATTGGATGCTAGAGCGGAGCAGGGGATGAGGATTGGATGCTAGAGCGGAGTAGGGGATGAGGATTGGATGCTAGAGCGGAGTAGGGGATGAGGATTGGATGCTAGAGCGGAGTAGGGGATGAGGATTGGATGCTAGAGCGGAGCAGGGGATGAGGATTGGATGCTAGAGCGGAGTAGGGGATGACGATTGGATGCTAGAGCGGAGTAGGGGATAAGGATTGGATGCTAGAGCGGAGTAGGGGATGAGGATTGGATGCTAGAGCGGAGTAGAGGATGAGGATTGGATGCTAGAGCGGAGTAGAGGATGAGGATTGGATGCTAGAGCGGAGTAGGGGATAAGAATTGGATGCTAGAGCGGAGTAGAGGATGAGGATTGGATGCTAGAGCGGAGTAGGGGATGAGGATTGGATGCTAGAGCGGAGTAGAGGATGCGGATTGGATGCTAGAGCGGAGTAGGGGATGAGGATTGGATGCTAGAGCGGAGTAGAGGATGAGGATTGGATGCTAGAGCGGAGCAGGGGATGAGGATTGGATGCTAGAGCGGAGTAGGGGATGACGATTGGATGCTAGAGCTGAGTAGGGGATGAGGATTGGATGCTACAGCTGAGGAGGGATTGGGAATTTGATGCTAGAACTGATATAAGATTGATAATGGGGTCCTATAGAGCGGAGTAGAGGATGAGGATTGGATGCTAGAGCGGAGTAGAGGATGAGGATTGGATGCTAGAGCGGAGTAGGGGATAAGGATTGGATGCTAGAGCGGAGTAGGGGATCAGGATTGGATGCTAGAGCGGAGTAGGGGATGAGGATTGGATGCTAGAGTGGAGCAGGGGATGAGGATTGGATGCTACAGCGGAGTAGGGGATGAGGATTGGATGCTACAGCTGAGGAGGGATTGGGAATTTGATGCTAGAACTGATATAAGATTGATAATGGGGTCCTATAGAGCAGAGAAGGGGATGAGAATGAGATGCTTGAGCTGATGATGGGATGAACTGGGATGCTAAAGCTGCAAAGGGATTGAGAATGGGATGCTAGAGATGGGACCCTAGATTTTGTGTTTGTTGTTTAACGCCCCACTCAACAATATACCAACTGTATGACGGCAGCCTGGAGATATTCGAATCTGGACCAGACAACCCAGTGATCGATATTGTGAGCAACAACCCACGCCGTCGTGGAACGAGGACACGCAATGAACCAAGTTACCGCGTCTCAACACCAGTTCCACCTAATCGCCTCTTACGACCAGTATGGGCTTCTGGGGACCTTTCCTAATCCGGGCTTCCCACGGATGGTCAGAAAAGGCTTTAATTGAAGCCGAATAGAGGAGGATGTAAAATAACATTGCCGAATGATCTATGAGAGAGCGAGTTTGTGCGTGGAAGATTTTGCACGCTGTTAGCAAAACTTTCTAGCAATGTTTCGGCAGCCTGTAAATAATCAAATCTGTACCAGAGAAATCAGTGGTTGATTTCATAAGCAACGATCCACCTCGTCAAGCACGATGATTCACAATCAGCCATGTAATATAACCCCGGATCGTTAGGACGGCCCTCGCACAAGATGCGGACAGTACAAGGGAAACAGTCTGTCATGAATCCCCTTCACTATATAGCGTTATCCCCAGAGGAGTCGGTAAAATTGACGAATTCCGTAGGATCTTAATTTACATAAAACTTTAATGAATACTTGCAATTGAACGTGCACTAAACTGACAAAGTGCAACCGAATCTAGATAATACAGGCAAGTATGCAATGTAATCCATTACAAATACATAACATGGCGTTGAACAGCCTCGGAGTGAAGGCTTTCCTCGTCACACCAAGGCCCGGCTTCAATTCAACACTTGGATACAATGAATGTAGCACATTTAAATGCCAAGGAACATAAAAGGGTGAAAATTAGAGTTTTGTTTTATAAAGAGGATGTTTAACAGGATTATAAAATAATGTATCTATTGGTGAGGCGAATAAAAACTTTAGACAATGATAACCGCCAAACTTTTGAAACTATATATGTATACTCATTGTCGCTCCATTCGCTTAAGTGACCGATTGCATGCAGTAAAACACATAATCGTGTAGTTAAAGATAATAAAAACATCAAAACCCCTCGAAACATCGAGAAGAAAATCACGTTATTTAATCTACCGAAAATGATTAAATTCATTAAGGCGCGACAGATTTATCCAGTGGTTATATAGTGATCACGATGCATCAATTACCTCCCTTTGTGATCATGTTTCTCCTTTGGCGCAAATTGGGCAAACCAGCAACATTTATTGGAACCATTCGACCTTTGAATAATACCAGCCGAAATTTCAAATATTTCCGTCCAAATAACTGCCAATCGGGTTAACACTCAACACGGCAACTTAACGAAGGAATACATAAAGCTGCAGGACCTCTGTCTGATTTCATCCGTTTTCTTGCCTTTTATCGCCATGTTCGACAAAGGGGTATTTCCCTTTCTGTGACCTCATGTATGAACTCTATCGTTTCCTATTCAACTTATAGTCACATGAATGTTGTTTTACGCAACATAGATAATCCATTCATTTACCAGGTAAACCTATGATCGACAGTATGAGCAACTGCCCACGTTTCGAGGAGTGGTTACACGCAATCAGGCAAATCACACATTCTAACCACTATATCCACTTTATAAGACGGATCTTGTGACAAGCTTTGGGTACTGGGGGCATATTGTGCCCTTGAATCACCAGGGGGAGTCAGGCGTGGGGTACTGGGGGCATATTCTGCCCTGCAATCACCACGGGGAGACAAGCATGGAATATTGGGGACCTATTCTGCCTTGGAATTACCATGGAGACAGGCGTTTGGGACTGGTGACCTACTGTGCCCTAGGAATCATCATGGGAGACAGGTATAGGGTACTGAGGACCTATTCTGCCTTTGGATCACCGCAGGGAGACAACATGGGATACTGGGGACATATACTGACCTAGAATCCCATGGGAGACAGGCATGGGATACCGGGGACCTATTCTGCCATGGACTCACCACAGGTAGACAAGCATAGGATACTGGGAACCTTTTCTGCCATGGATCCCCACAGGGAGACAAGCATGGGGTACTGGGGACCTATTCTGCCATGGACTCACCACAGGTAGACAAGTATAGGATACTGGGGACCTTTTCTGCCCTGGATCCCCACTAGAAGACAAGCAGGGGTGTCAATGAGTGTTAACCAAGCGAAGTGCCATATCAAATTGGCCCAGACTCTAGATATCTGATATCGTTGCTATCTGAACGGAGTTTATGTACAGTGTGTTGAGAAGAATAGCAGCCCCGCAGAGTCCTTAGCTTTGATGAAGTCGGCTAGCCTGAAAAGTGAAACAGAAATCTTTCTGTTTGCTGCTCATGATCAGTCATTTCACCACTCGAAACCGCCAATGTGTGATTTTGCATCAACATGTAAATATGAAATGTAGATAATGCCTTGAATTTAATGAGACTCTCCAACACATTGTCAGTGAATATCCAGCTTTGGTACAACTACATTATCTTCAGCGACATGATGGAGTGGCTCGATGCTTTTGGTTTTGACACAGGTCCATCCATGGTACGACCCAGAATATGTAGAGGACGTGATGAAAAATGATAAACATAAAATTATTTGGAATAGGCCTGTATACAACCTCATCGTAACGTATCTCGGGTGATTTTGCAGCTAAAATGCCGGGCAAAAGATAGTACACACTTTAAAACTGGCTTTGACAAAACATTTACAAACGTTATCAAAACGTAACTATCATTAAAACAGTCGACGAAACACTGCAAACCTAAGGTCCAACATGCATTACATAACCATTTCTTGTTAGTTTCATTTTAGCCACCATAAATGGGTGTGTATTTTCTTCCCCCGCCAGTTTGAATATGGTTAGGCTGATTTCGGATCACATTATACAATCCACCAGGACAGGTTTTTATTAGAAAATACTATTCTGCCTCTACATCTGACCGGTCCCTGGTTATACCGTATATTTGATTTGAGTTTTCAGTCTGGTGATCTCCACACCTCAATTATGTGTTTGACGGATGTAAGTTATTGTTTACTGCCACACGCCAATAATTGCTTGACAGCCATACATGAATATTTATGTCCGTGACATGCGTATATTTATTTGATCTACCATTCATAACTGGTTTTATTGTCGAACAGACACATTGAAAAAAGTCCTTGTGCAAACATGGCAGACACAAGGATCAGAGGAGAGGAGCGCCACAGATGACAAACATCCTGCTAGAATACATGGTAAGAAACAGGAAATCTAGGGCTATGTCTTGTAAAACCATGTAACAGATCAAATATCGTAATTAGTTTTAAAACCACAATTTCTATAACGTTCTTGTACACTCTTACGGTTTAAAGATTATTAATACAATTAGTACGAGTGGTATTAAAATTAATGCATTCCAAGAAGAAGACAGGAATTCAAACTGTTTTCTTGGGAAATTTGCAAGCAAGGAGGCGTCATTTACTAAACCCCATCTAGATAAATCTCTATTCAGCATGGAACGCTCATTTTGCCCGGTTTTACATTATTTCTTGTAATAAAAGGATTGGTGTTGGATCAGTTTATGTTTGTTTCTAAATCATTCCAAGATTTTATAGTTGAAGGTATGAATGATTTCGTAGCGTTTCAGTTCGACACGCTGTTATTCATGTCATGCAACCATCTCAAGTTACAATATTACATGGGATGAGATTGTGAAGGAATAGTGGCACCAGTGGGGTTTGCGTTTTGAACACCAGCTATTTGCTATTTACATATGGTCTTTTCTTCAGTAGGGCCTTACAGCATACGCTGACCACACGAGCTGCTTCATACCGCCCATCAACTTCAAACCTGTCAGACTTTACCAAAGTGAAATGGATGATATTCATGTTGATATTTTTTTTAATAAAATATTTTCTGTGCAAACCAATTGTCAGTCATATGTTGATCTACATTTTCGAGAAATTAGAAATCGTGAAAGATGGAAGAAAAATACCTGAAAAATTTAAAAATTGTATCTGGAACAGTCAGCGTTAGAAATTGGCACGAGTCCTCTAGTCCTTACCAAACTGCCCAATAGTAAAGGTATCCTAAGGACTAGTAGAAATTGGCCTATTTTAAGGGTTTTGCTATATGTTATTATTATAAGGACTAGTGGACAAAAGCTATTAGTTTCTAACCCTGGAACTATTGAAACACTCTGTGAAGTGGGAAATACATTCGACATTCTCACTCATGGTTTTGTAAGCATCAACAACTCCGGAAAAGTAGCATGGCATTGTATTTCTGGTGTAATAGGTAAATTAACAACGTATATGTGACGATGGGTTTATTACCTACCCATCTGTATGGTATTTCACTATAATGCCATGTCCCTAGTTTTGTTGAATGTGTGAATAAGTTTAATGCATGTGCTGACATGTCCCCAATCAAGCATCTGGGATCTACAAGGCGGGGGTTCGTCAGAGACCCTGCATCCGCCAACGTGCATGGCCCAGCTTGGGACAGCAAGCATTATCCAGGGCCACCATACGAACGTTAATCAACAGTATGCCATCAAGGTGTCGCCCATGTATCGCCCAAACATGGTGGACACACCAGATATTGATCGACACGCTCGAAGCTAATTTTACAGATATTAATTGTCATTATACATTCACTATCATTTCATCAGTTCCCTTATTTTTTGTCGGTAGTATATGATTCAGTTGAATGTGTGATGTTACAGATTCATTACGACAGAATGTAGCACCGTATGATCATCCAGTCCTAAATTCAGTCACCCTCGCTTGTTCATTGAGTTATATCTCCATTCTGTTATGGTATAGCATTTGATAATAGAGAAGATATGTGATATTCTAGATAATCGAGGATGCATTTTGTGAGCTCATTGGGAAATAAACATGTTTTCAATGTAGAGCTAGGTAACCTGTAGATTTAACGGCGGTAAATTGAATTGGGAACCGAACGTGCAGCTTCAATGACCAAATAAAACGCGAACTCTTTGGTGCTAGCAAATATATTGAGTGAAGCGGCATGGGTCCAGTGTTTTGAGTGGTTTGTCGATCAGAATTACGGAATCACCGACAACAGCCTTTAAACAAAATATGACTCTGTATGTGCTCAAACAATTATTTTTAAACCGTAATACTTCACTCGAACATATGACAGGTATTGAAAGCATATCAGCACGTCACCTTGGTAAGGTAACACATATAATTCGATTTCCACAATCAGATGTCTGATGTGACGACGTGTTGAATGATAGAGTCTGGGACAGACAAACCAGCGATTGATATTGTGAGCAACGTCTCACGCCGTTGGGGTACAATTGTTAAATGTGTGATTAAGCTATCAAATAAAAGCTCCGCTCTTAACTGTTACCCATAACTTTTATTTCAAACTGCTGGGCAAAAGTAAGTATACACTTGTAAATTCTATTCCACACCACTGCTTACATTAGATAGTACTACATCCCTGACAACTAATTATTCTCAAAACCAAATGCTATGAACTTCAACTGAATATCGGCAAAACAATTGTAAACAATTACAACATTGTTTAATAAAAAATTACATTGCCATATACAACACTCAGTAATATAATGCATCATGATGTAATATCACATATTATACCCGTATCACAAACATCACTACAACCATTTCATCAATCATCTTTCCGAGGCAAGGAAGTTACCTGACTAGGAACGTCCAGTTTCCATCTTAAAAGTTAGTTTACTCCCTTGCCTCGGGAAGATGTTCATTGAAAATACATTTCTTGTTTGTTTCATTTTTAGCCGTCATCAAACATGAGTGTATACTTTCTTTTGTCCGACAGTTTACTTTAAACAATCTAATGCATCTAATCTATAACATTAACGGTAGAGTATATACGACACTAAACACGTGTCTCCACTGCATGCGCAATCTGCAGCTGACGTAAAACAGTAAAGACTAAGGTCGAAATCCCATGGGCATCTTCAGTACGAATTGAAGGTTATGAAGAACATGACTTAACCGATCTTACACATAAATATCACAAGAGAGCGTTTCAGAAATTTTATCCTGTGCCTTTGGCGTTTGCCCATATAGGTTTCCGTGCAAAAATATTGCTGCTTTAACAGATCAAGGGGCGGAAAAGGACATTAAATGTATTATCTTTACATGATTAAACATATAACACTCTGCCAATGGCGCTTTGACGTCATAGTGCTATCATTGCAAGCATGCTCAAATAACAGAAAGCAAACCCTTCTATAATTAACAGAAAAATGAGTTATCTCTTTTCTTTGAAAATTCATCTCTTTAATAACGCGTGCCTCTTGGTAACACCGACTTTTGTTTGATGATTTTTTCGTTAACAAAGTGTCCATTCGTGCGTTCATGTATTGTTGGAGGTTCGATCCATAAAACAGTCACCACTAATTCCTGTATTGGTTGAGGAAATATTCTTTAACACCGCAGTCAACATCCTCGTTTGTCCAAGGACCATTTCGCAACCAAAGCATCGTTTCGGAAGTCTCCATCGCTCCTTTCTCAAACCTAGCACAATTTCCCTCGCTCATGACAGTAGTTTGACTGGGCAGTTATTTTTGCGTCGTGCCTTTTGAATCGGGTTGAAAACGAAGCCATGGTGGTGTATGGCCCCATGGTATATATTATACAAGAATGGATTTTAACACACTGGATTGTCGAGGATGTTGCAGCCATATCACAGGGGCATGGAAAGATCGGGTCTGGACCAGGCAAACCAGTGACTGAATATAAGATCGACGACACGTCACCCGATACAATTTAGTCAATCAGTGAGTGAGTTGGGTTTAACGCCGCGTTTAACAGTATTCCAATTAGATCACGGCGTGTCATCTCAATGTGGGAGGAAAGCCCGAAGTGATGCAGGTCTCAAACGTTGACCACTTTGGTGAAACCCCAGAGCACGGGTATGGTGCTGACAAACCTAGAAATATAATCGGGGCGAACCGGTATGCAAACCCACAGTCATAGGTTTCTGGCATGCCCAAGGGTCGCAACTCCGCACAGTGAATTGAGGCGCCTAAGACGACTTGGCCATCCGTGCCCTCCTAACAAGGTTAGGGGTTGCTGGGGACCTATTCTCAATCCATGCATATAATCCATTCTTGAAAAGTATAACTCACTCAGTCATTCGTGAATAAATTGCAAATAATTCCATGGCATTTGACGGGCTAACCAAGCATTGCGTTCATGTTTCCATAAACCTAAAAAAATAATTTGTCCCAACCTGAAATGGGGTTTAACGTCGCGTTCAAGATTATTGTATGCACTTACCTAGCGACGTACATGAGTGTGTGTACTCGTAAGTGTGTGTGTGGCTGCTTGTTATACTCCGAACTTACGCCGATTGTATAGTGCTAGCCCACTAAGATACCATGCCGCAGTTGAACATGAATACCCCACTCAGACACAGTATACTGACTCCGTGCCTAACAGCCCTTGTTTTGGACCCTTATGCCAGGCGTCAGGCAGGGTAACTTTAAACGTCTTTTGGTATGACGCAGCCGGGGATCGAACACCCGACCTTTCGCTCTCCGGGCAGACGCTCTACTACTAGACCACAGAGGCGGTTCTGATAATAGAATTGATGGAGTTTGTATTGTATTATTACGTGGCTCGATGTCCCTAATTTCGTATCATGGTTGAACTTAAACAATTCATGTTCACAAGCAGCATGCGAAGATATTATGCAAACAGTCATGCAGACAGACAGCATGACAAACACATTACCTTAGTTTACAATTGGCTCCGAATTTCTTTTGCGTGTATAGAGACCTGAAGAATTCTTCTTATGGCGCAATGAATATTGAAGCCAATTCTTAATTTAAATAATGTGTCTAACATCATGTCTATCCGCTTGACTGTCGGCATCGGCAAGAACGTCTCACCTTGTGCAACGTTACCCTGGTGAAGAACTGTTTGATTAACTGTGGAACAGACGGAGGTGGATCGTTGCTCATGCGTTCAACCATCGGTTTGTCTGCTTTTGATTATAAAACGAAACCTCACTGGACGAAATAACTTGGTGAGACGAAAACGTATTTTAGCTTATTTGGAATGAAAGACAATGGCACTTGAGTGATTACTATACTGACATGTGAAATCAGAGTTCTATATACATTAAAAACCTTAAAGATAGTTGATACATAAATATTCATGCTGATGCACAACAAAATACTATTTTCTGAATTCCAAATATCTGCTCTTCCAATAAGTTATGGTCTCTTCTATTAAAGGGCCTGTGTGGAATTCTTGGGCGGATATTCTATAACGGGTATCAAAAATGCACTTCACCGGAAGAGTTCTAATGGCGCGTGGTTTTGCTGTTGTTTCGAGACACGTGTTATTCATCGACAGAGCTGTCAACTGTATTTATTGATAAGGTAATTTCTATTTATGTACGTTAGCTTGGTCATTTTTCGTGTCAATGTGAATCGTCAGTTAAATATCACGACTGTCAGTCGCAGATCCATAACCCGTCTGGATGGGAGGAAACGCCCTTCAAATCTGGATGATCTCGCAGTGTTACATCCTAATCACACGATAACTTATGTACTAATATCTCGTACGCCCCCTCGGTCTTATTAGAGCAGCCACTTCTGACTTATGACTACCCAGCATGCATTGTCACACACCGAGGATTACATCATAGACGTTTCCCGACGCGAATGCTCGTAAGATTGTCTGGAAAAACTGAATGTAAGAGGTCTGCTGATACCGTATTTCCTCCAACAGACGCCCGTTCCCCTTTTAGCGCCGAAACATCGATACATCGGGGTCGCAAAACAAAGTGTAAGAGTGAAGCCTGTTTGTAGTAAAACTCAAATATAGATGCCGTTACTATATCCCTTCATCCGTTCATTGTGATATCGGACGGTGGGGTAGCC